ACACTCATGTCTCAGCTTCAAACTGTGTTGAACTGTGTGTTTGTGCTTTATGTTGTACATTCGTTAACAATATGTGTCAGAAGGTATCAGAAGAAATAAAGAAAGGTACTCTGCATCGAGTCAAACTGGAAATAATTTAGTGTTTTTAGTAGTGACTACTGAACACTACCCCAACCTCCAAAGACTCCACCTGTTCCTGTGTGTGTTCACTTGTCTTCCTGATTCTGGTAAGTGAAGCCGCATTGCATGTATCTTATTTCTATTTTTGTATGTGGGCGGGGGAGGGATAAGGCATTTATGGAGTCAAGGTGTCATCTGGTGCTGGGGATTGAACTCAGAACCTCAAACATGTTAGGTTGTGTGCTCTACCACTAGAGCTGTGTCCCAGCTCTCATTTCTACTTTTATAATTAGCCTGAGCACTCATTGAGTCAGTCCTGCTTTTACTGCTTGTTAGTGTTACCGCATGAGAAATGGCAGGTTACTTTTTGTGTCTGAGAGTTTGGGGTCCCACCTGGCAGCGCTGAGGGCTACTTCTAGTGCTGTGTTCCATCCAAGCTAACTTGTGCTGAGAATGGAGCCCCCTGACTTCTGCATGCAACACATAGACACTAGCCCTTTGAACTGGCTCCCCAGATCAATGGTAATTATTCCTTTAAGCCTTCTCAGTTTACAAAAGGTATCCTAGGAAAACTACGCTCAGCTCAGATAATGGTGGGAACCTGTAAAGTGTGTGGGGATTTTTTTTTTCTGCAAATTATTGCTCCACTCTATAATATTGTGGTTAATAGTTGCATTTTTGCACAATTGTGCTTTCTTGCACAATTTTTCTCATACCTACATTTCACAAATCACACTTCAGATTTATTCTTTTTAATGCTTTGGGGATTAAAGCACTTCAAAAAAAACCATTCAGATTCAGTATTTTTTTACATATCAATCCTGAAAGTTGGTGTCTTGAAAACTGCAATTTTTTTTTTAAGATGTGATGGACAAGAGTTCTCATCATACCAAATTCATTTTTCCATATACTTAGGATATAAAAAGGTTTGGTGTTTCCGTAAAACACTGCAATTAATTCAATAAAAAAAGAACTTTAAATACATATTTTTCTTTCCTGCATGCAGAAGCATCTGCTCTAACTTCTGCCTCCTAAAAATGTTGCTTATTTTATTTCAGCTTTAACCCTTAAAAACAGAAAAAAAAAATGATCTGGCTTGGAATGTTCATTAGTTATAACAGCAGGAGTCAAGTTAATCTTCTTACACTCCATGTTAAATTTACTCGGTGCTTACAATATTTTTTAAAAGTCTCTTGGACAGAGCAGTGTTGATCTAGAACTTCGGGTCTCTTAAGGGCATAACCCATCAGGTTGTGGTTCAGGATTTCGAATGAGTTTGCCACATTTTTCCATTTTTTGGTATCAGGTTAGCTTCATCTCAGCGTGACCTTGGAAAAGTAATTTTTTCCCCATCCTGAGATGCAAATATATATGATAAAGAGCAGCTGCAATTGTCATAGATATCCTGTATGGTGGGCAAAATGCAGCACTGTTAGTCCTGTGGCTGAAAGCTCTGAAAGAAGGTTTATGTGACCTTTTGGAAACGGAGAATGTGCTGTTCACCCCAAGGAGCCCTGAGTAATTAAAACAGAGCGTTAGCACTTCTCACAGGAGGGATCAATTTACTCTGAATAGCCTAAAGCTCTTTATCACTTGTTTTGGTGTGCTAGCTCTGAACAGGGCGGGGCCCAGAGCCGAGGAGAGGGAAGCGAGGGGGAGGTCGAACGGGGAGCAGTAATTGGAGAAGGTAAAACAAAAATAGTGTGGGGGAAGCGAGGGAGGAGAGAAAGAAGGGCAAGCTTTGGGAGGCCCTGTGGCACTTACCGGCAGGCCTGGGCTCCGAGACCTAATGGAGGACAAGAGGCTATTTCCATCTGCTCCAGTTCGAGAAGGGGATCCTAGTGTTGCCCTGAGGCCAGGGCAGTGACTGGAAATGTGGATCCGTAATGCTGTCATTTTCTCTTTCACAAATCCCCTTGTGACTCACGCTTCGGCTTCGTTTTGCCACTGGGTCCCCTTGGTGTTCAGCTTTGCTGGTCGCTTCCTCTGTGAGCTCAGACTGTACCTCCCAGTCATTGCTCTCCAAGCTAGGAGACCCCCCTACCCACAGGCCTCCTTCTCATTGTATGTTTCTCTCACTTTCCTTCTTTGCATTTCTCTAAAATGCTTCCACTTTTTTAGTTCAAGAACTCATTTCATAAAATAATTTGTGTGGCGTGAGCTTTCATAGTTCACCCATGAATCTTTTTCTCCTGTGATATTTCCTTGCTGGTATTATATTGTCCCACATCTGTTGCATTTGTTCATTCATCCTGCTTTTGCTGTACCAACATATAGGGACAGAGAATGTAATAATAATAATAATTTACACTTTCAGTAGGGCGTTTGCCTTGCGGGCAGTGGGTCCAGTGAAGCCGGGTTTGATTCCTCTGTCCCTCTCAGAGAGCCAACAAGCTACAGAGAGTATCTTGCCCGCATGGCAAAGCCTGGCAAGCTACCCATGAGGTATTTGATATGCCAAACACAGTAACAACAAGTCTCACAATGGAGACGTTACTGGGCTTGCTGGAGCAAATCGATGAACAAGGGAAGACAGAGCTACAGTACTACACTTTCAGTAAGATCCTTGGGAGAAATTGAGAAGATAGGAGGGACATAAAGAGTTAGAATTTTGACTATTGCTATTCACTTTATAGTTTTCACATTGCTTATTTTTACCATGACCATGTAATACTGTCATAAGAAAATTAGTTGTGCATGTATGTATATGTATTCATATATAAAAGGTATTTGTATTATCGTATACATATATACACACATATATATATATAAAATTTAGGTAACTCTGATAGTATAGAAACCTTATGTCCATGTTAGTCATTTGAACAATGATTGAAGCAATCTCTACATTCATTTCTAGGCTCTTCAACCAGATAGAGTAGTACTCTGGCGCAAGAGCTTTCCCTGTTATTTTTCTCTCCTATGCTAATGTCAGGTTCACTGTAGTTGTTTAATATAAGCTTCAGTGTTGTTTTTTTTTTTAATAGACTCACAATAGCACTGTAGCACTGTCCTCCCGTTGTTCATCGATTTGCTCAAGTGGGCACCAGTAATATCTCACAACAAATTGTGAGACTTGTTGTTACTGTTTTTGGCATATCGAATACGTCACAGGGAGCTTGCCAGGCTTTGCCTTGCAGGCAAGATACTCTTGGTAGCTTGCTGGCTCTCTGAGAGGCGGAGGAATCGAACCCAGGTCGGCCGTGTGCAAGGCAAATGCCCTACCCGCTGTGCTATCGCTCCACCCCAGACTCACAATAAAATAAAATTAATAAGGTCATACATGACATGGTATAATTTGAAGGAAAAAAACCCTTGAAATCAGTGAACTAAAGAAATACATATTAGTAAGATAGAAATATTCAAATGATTTAATGGACCACAGGATAATCACAGATCACCATTAGTGTTTTTGCTTTAGTTCTGAAAGCAGAAGAATTTTGAAGGTATTAATAAACCTATGTAATATAGAAATCATGTGTGGTTCCCTCTTTTGAATCTGCAGTGTTTAGTTATAAATTCTACAAACTAAAGAAAAAAATGTGAGTAGTTGATGAGACTTAATAATAGACATAAAACTTTCATACTTTGCAGGTGGGAATATAAAAATTATGCAGCCACCTTGGGAAATAGCTTCATAAATTCTTCAAAATTTAAACATAGGAAAAGCATATAACCCAGCAAATTCATTCCAGGGAATATAGTCAACAAAAGACATATATCCATACAAAAACATATGCAAGTATTCATAGTGTCTTCTTTTATATAAGCCATTGGATAAAAACCCTGTTTGATTCCATTTATTTGAGATATCCACCATTGCCAAATCCACAGAGTTAGAAAGTGAGATTGTCAGAGAGTTGGTGAAAGATGGGAAGAAGCTTCTAATGGGTGTAGAGTTCTGGAATTAGAAAGTGGTGATGGTATAATACACAATTATATCTGTATCAGAGCCAACTGTATTGTATTTTTTAAAAGGGTAAATTTCATGACATGTGAATTATATTTTAGTGAACTTGTTTATTAAAACTCAAGGTGAGCTGGAGGGAAATACAAGGAAAAGGACCCCCAAAGAATGCTTTTTCTTTTGGAGGAGGCACCAAAGTGATTTTACTAAATGCTTCCTTTTTTGATATAATTGATGTTCTAATCTTTATAAAATAAAGAAATAAAAACTAGTTGGGGCAGATTAGAAGATAGAGACTATAAATTTAACCTAAAGGATTTACTTTTGTTACAAGCCTTTTCTACCAACATAACTTGGTAGGCTTTTTACCTTTTTCTCTCTTGTCCACTTTGTTTTCTTGTTCTACCCCCATATCCCATTAACCCATCGGCATTGGTCTGGGATTTTGTGTGGCCGCCACTTCAGTGGTGCTGGGATTTACCAGGACTACATACAGCGGTGTTTGGACATCATGCAGTGCCAGGGACTGCCAGGTATGTACTCTACCCAGGCCTTTCAGTTGTTCGCCCTGGTTCCAAGCATGTGCTATGATGCTCTGCATGCAGGACATTGATATATTTGGGGGGTTGAGGGGAAGAAGACACTTGTGTTATCTTGAAAAGCTTTATTTGGTTTCTAGATTCAGCCATGAACACCCATTTCTCTTAAGACTACAAAACTCTAAACAATCAACACTTTTTAGGAAAAAGTCTACAACTTGATTTGCACTTGTTATTTATATCATTTCTGTAAAGTAAAATCAGGCTATGCATTGCTACCTCTACACATGTAACATGAATATATAGAATATCTGTGGTCTGTTAAATAGTTTTCAAAACTCCATAAGCTTTTATAGTCAACTATATTTAAAAATTGAAAGAATTTCATCCTAGTTTTTCATCATCATCACTCATATGGGCCATCGAGGCCCTTTCTTTCCCACAGTACTCTTTGCTTTAGGTAAAAACAGGACCTTCTTTGGGTCCACTCTGCCAAGGATGCACATTCTTATAAAAATGACCAAACTAAGAGTCATATTCTGCCGAGGAAGGCATCTGGTCCTGTAACCAGAAGCAGATCAAATCTTTCCTAGTCATAATTCCTGGGTCAGGTCACATGGTCCTATGTTTGTGGCCAAGTGTGTGTCACTGTTGATGTTCTCAGTTTCACCATCACATTGTAGACTCAGCAACATTCATTCATTGAGTAAACAGGGAAATGTAAAACTACCCCTTTTGTGTTGGCAATATAAGCGTTCCTTCCCAATATCCTCAAAAGTTTTCACCCCAATTGCATGATTATAGAACAAAGGGTTGCAGGAGGGCTGGACTCCAGGAGGGTCAAACAGGTTAAAATTTGGTTTATTGAGAACATCAGGGAAAGAAAATTTCTGCTAAGATGTGAAGCACTTGACCTCCTCAGGAGAGGTTCTGGCTATTATGCAAGTGCATGGTCAAACTGCCCTTTCTCCAGGCCTTCAAGTCCATCTGCCCATGTTGAAGTGGGCATGCTTCGATAGGGATCCAGAAGAATCCGAAAACACCTGACAATGAGGATGCCCAAGAAAATAAACAACAAAATCACGAAGACAAATGTGGTTTTTTGCTCCAGAGACATGCTAGAGTCTGTCGATGTGTTCCCGAGGGACAATGAAGGGGAAGGGACGGGCTGTCCCCCGTCCATCATCCAGGAAAGCCAGAGCACAGGATCTCTCAATTTCCTTTGCTGCCATCATCAGCCTGTTGAAACCATGGTAACTGCAGCTTGGAGAGGCCGAGTCATCTGCTGGAACAAGGAACAGGGAGCAAAGGGAGTAATCACCAAATAACAACTGCATTTCCTAGGCCCACAGTCATGCTTTTCTTTCTGAGAGAAGAGGGATCTCTGAACTTGCTCACCAGGATGTTTAATGCTGTATCATTAAGGAGAAGAGTATTTTAGTTTTTCATCAAATCACCAGATTGTCCCCAGAGCAGCCACCTGGGACCAGGAAGGATGGGCAGGAAACACCACCACAGTACAGAGGATGGGGTTGGGAGTGTGGAGGAGAATGTCCATAACATGCTGGCCTCAGTGTGTTTTGCCAGCTTGACATCCAAATCCAGTATGTCCTGCCAAGTATTTTCAGCATTCCTTTAGTAATAGAATCCTGACTCCTTTCTCTTCATTGAGCATGGCTGTGTGTCAGTATACACATACAAGGGTTGCTCTCCTACAACATCCAAGAAAGCAAGGGCCTCTAGAGCCCCAATTCAAGGAAGTGAAATTTGGGAAAGGTGTTGAATGTAGAATCACTTTTTCAGATTCTATGGGTTTGGGAGCTGCTTTAGCCTGACCTTCACTGTACTGCAGGTGACTTTGGAGGGGTCACCAACCTATGAAAATAGAAGTAAAACTCCTGTGTATCTCTCTCCTGGAACTCTAATGAGGATGAATGTCTTTGAAAAGACATAAAGTGGGATGGGGGTGGGGTGTAATGATGCTTCACATGACTAAGAAACAAGGATACTTTTCTTGCTTTTTCTTGGCTGAATCTAGAAAGAGAAGAGGAGTCTCAGACCTCCAAACTGTCAAACTACAGCTGTTTTTTTTTTCTTCAGAAAACAAAGACTTGGTTCAATACTTGGCTCTGGGAAATACCTAGAGAATTAAGTTAGAGGAAAGGAATTGATCGGTTGCATTTATTTTAACAGCTTCACACTAACCTCCTACTGTTTAAAACCATTTAATAGCAAAGAAGAGAAGGATATAGTTGAGTTACTACTATTTCCATTTTGATGATAGAAAAATTGAGGTACATGGATATTAGCAATTGGCTTTTAAGGTAAACTGAAGTATACATAATGGCCTCTTAAAACTTCAAATTCTGGACTCAATTTATTTAAACCAGTTTTTTAAAGGGAAATATCCATATTACACATTACCAAATGGAAAGATCTTGACATATTTATGAGTCTACAAGAAGAGATACACAGCAGAGTAATCATTTGGGGAAGTTAACATGGTCTCAAAAGAAATTCTGTTCAATGAAAATAAGTAACCAAATAAAAATAGAATTATAGACTGAAGTTTTAGTACAATACTTATTCAGTAAATTTAAAATCATTCTCTTGAAGTACAGTACTAGTAGTCATAACAGTTTGCATGCATGTTGACACTGAAAAGGTTTTTTTTAAATAAAAACAAGTTTAAAAAATAGTTTATGAGAAGAATTGCCACCAGTATCTGGGAAGAAGGTGTCACTAGTTTGAGGGGAAAGACTCTGGTTGGCAGCTTCATGTCTCTGAACATGTTTTAAAGCAAGAATAGTTGCAACAGATTCCCTTATGATTCATTTTTGTCAAGAGAAATGATTGCCATAAATTTTACTCTTAAAAATATGCTCCTTAGAGACCATAGCAGTAATACAGCAGCAAGAGTGTTTGCCTGGCATACAATCAACCTGGTTTGATCCTTAGCATCTCATATGGTCCTCTGAGCACTACAGAAAGTAATTTCTGAGTGCAGAGCCAGGAGTAATCTCTGAGCATCACTGGGTGTGACCCCCCCCCCAAATATCAAGCATATTAGTGGATTGAACTTAGGCTTGGTTTTCTTATCTTAAACATTCTTTTAACCTTGGGTGTTCATTCTCCCTGTGGGGTAATTGGAACTGGGAAAAGATATCTGAGAGTGAGAAAGGGGGTGCAGAGTTTCTGAAGTAGCTCTTGACAGTGCTTCCAACCAACATGCCCCCCCTCCACTTGAACACCCGAAGTGAACGTGAGCATAAAATTCTCAAAAAAATAAGTTTTCAGTTTACCATGTTGTGACTGAGAAGTAGGTACAAAAGCCAGTCTGTCTCTTGTATTTTAATACCTACAGAGAACCCCTCTCCTCTAGCCCACCTGCCCCTCTCCCTCTGCTTTTTGTGGGCTTAGTGGAATTCCAGCCCTTTCTGCATTTTTTTTCTACATCCCCTTTCCCTCCAGTCACAGGAGGCCTCTGGGAGAGGAGACAGATGCATTTTCAGAAAGCTCCTTATGAGGGACCAGAGAGATAGTATAGGAGGGAAGTATGTTTGCCTCACACACAGCTAACCCAGGTTTCATCCCCAACTCCACATATGGTTTTCCCTGGGTCTCACCAGGAGTGATCCCTTAGCACAGAACCAGGAGTAAGCCCTGAGTACTGCTGGGTGTAGCCCCAAACCAAAAAAAAAAACTAAAAAAAAAACCAAAAAAAAAAAAAACAACAACAACCCAAAGCGGAGGGAATTATGAAACTACCTCATAATCTCAAATGGAAATACAGGAAAATGGAAGATCACAAGTTGTAAACTTGTCACATATTCCTAGATCAGTGGAGTCCAGTGAGAACAATGAAGAGCTGTATATGGAAACTTTTGAGCCTACAATAATGACGGTCTAGTCACAAGCTGTCTGTGTAGATTAAGTTTCATCTGTCCCTTTGCATGCCTGGTTTCCATTCAGTGGTAACTGTCTGACATGCAGGAGTAGTCTTCCCTGCTTTCGGCACACAAGGCAAAACATAAATCCCTTTTTCCTGGCTCTACGTCTGCTTCTTAAGCTTCTCCTCTATAACTCTGGTTTTGAAGCTTGCACCTCCATTCATTTGGGAACCGTTGTGATGGGCAACCATTCCAAGAAGCCCCGGCAAATATCTTAATCATCCTGAGATTTTCAGCCACATCTTTACCTGCCATCTCTCCACGGATGCAATTGGGGTCTGAATTCTCCGTGGAACAGCTCTTGAGAGCCCGGCAAGCTACCGAGAGTATTCGATATGCCAGACACAGTAACAACAAAGTCTCCAATGGAGACGTTACTGGGCCCGCTCGAGCAAATCGACGATCAACGGGAGGAAAAAAAAAAAATAGTTCACTCTTAATTGCAAGCCTCTCTCAGCAAGCTGCCCAAGTTCTATTGAAATACTTTATTTTTTTTAAAAAATCAGATCATTGAAAGCTCCTATAAAACACCAGTATTTTACAGAGAAAAGTGACATGTTAGTTCATTAGTACAGATCTGCCTATAAAAACTGTTCTCACTTGAAGGAGGAAGGAGTGTGATAATATTAGAGTTAATGTAATGTCTTTCTGGAGCTGCTAGGACTTGAAGGGATAAATAGAGGTACGAGGAAGAGATGGCCCCACAAAAGGATTCAGGGAAGGACTGGAGGACAGTGGTAAGGATGAGATGATCAATTGGTCATAGACCTATGTAGGGATGCACAGGTTAGAAACAAATGCCAGCTGTTTCACAGCTATTTCCTGGACTGATTGAAATCTCTGAAAGAGGCTGCTTGATTTTAAACCCACAATCTGCTAACCAAGAATATACAGGTTTGGACAGTTCAACAGCATGTTTAAGTGAAAAGAAGCACCCGATTAAAAAAAAAAAGATGCAGAAAAACATTTAATCATTTGACTACTATAGTACAAGTCTCACAATGGAGATGTTACTGGTGCTCAAGCATATCGATGAACAATGGGAGGACAGTGCTACAGTACAAGAATATCCAGAAATACTACATGGAAAGTATCATGTTAAGTGAAATGAGTCAAAAAAGGAGGGACAGACATAGAAAGATTGCATTCATCTGGGGAACATAAAGTAACAAAATAGGAGAATAAACGCCCAATAATAGCCGAGATACGTACCAGGAGGTTTACTCCATGGCTTGGAGGCCAGCCGCACACTCTAGGGGGAAAGGCAGCTCAGATAGAGAAGGGAGCACCAAATAAAGGGTGTTGGGAAGATCCACCCAGGATGGGAGATGCATGCTGAAAGTAGACTAGAGACCGAACATGATTTCCACTCAATGCCTCTTTTGCAAACCACAGCACCCAAAAGGAGAGAGAACAAGGGAATGCCCTGCCACAGAGGCAGGGTGGGATTGGGGGAATGGGGAAGTGGGAGGGATACTTGGATTAGTGGTGGTGGAGAATGGGCACTGGTGGAGGGATGGGTACTCGATCATTGTATAACTGAAACCCAAGCACAAAAATTTCTAAGTCTACAACTGTACCTCATGGTGTTTCACTAATAATCTTTTTTAAAAAAAAAAAGAATATCCAGAGATCTAAAATGTTTAGATATTGGTTGGAGTTAAAAAATAAAGTCCCATTTGGGGTAGAAAGTGTTTGGCTGAATAATGAAATCTTTGATTTAGATTAATAGTGGAACCTGGGCAAGTAAATTACTTCAGTAGGTTTTGACAGAGCTGTCCTGAGTTTTAACAAGGGGCAACATACTCTCTTTATCCTCCCTGGCTCCCTGAATCCTGCAGCTGTGTCTTTGTCCAGGAAATAAAGACACATTTTCACACAGTGCTGAGGAAACCTTAATTAAGAAGCATCATATTTTGTCTTAATGCATCCCCTTTTTGCAGGTTGAGCTCCCTAACTTCATGTATCTCAGCATGTATTATATGTGAAATTGTATATACCCCCTGTATTATATGTGAAATCTCTTGTGAACCCTACATTTGGCCAGTCATTTGCTCCCCATTTGGGTTAAAATAATTTTCCAGGAAGCCTGCCTTCTCCTCCTCCCCCACCACCATCTTTTCCCAAACTGCCTGTAGCTCCATTTTTTTAAAGCTCAGATCTCACAACTCTTGCCCTCAGGAAACCGCTTACTTCTGTGTCAAGGCTTAAACTTGCCTCTTAGGGAACTGATATCCTTCTATCCTGGAGCACATCAGGACACATTTGAACAGTGAAAACATTTCTCAGGTAGTCACTTCTTTTCCACAGTTTAAAACAGGAAAATAAATGTAATCATCTTTTATTTTGAACAAAGTGGCCCAAAGATCGAAGAAGTCACACTTAAATGTCCTTGAGACTGAGACCCAGAGTTGGGCAGATGGCTGGGCTCTACTGTTCTGCCCATCCTGGCACTGGCCGTTCCTGGAACACTTGCAGGTTTCCTACCTTGGAGCCAGCCTGTTATTCTCATGGCCCTGGTCCCCACAGAAAGAGTTCTCACTTCCTCCACTGCACCCCAGTAGTGCGCTGTCTCCAGTAGCTTGTTCTTGCATTTGAGGGAAGCACTTACTGCAGGTTTGTCTCCATTCACTTTGGGAACAACTAAGCTCCCCTAGAAACCCATGGCTGCTGCCATTGCCTCTTGTAAGGCAGACTAAATCTCTGCAGCTTATAGCTCATGGAAGTAAATTTACACATCGCTGGAGTGATGTGTATACAGGGGTGAAGGGAGGTGTTTGTGTGTGTGTGTGTGTCTGTGTGTATGTGTCTGTGTGTCTGTGTGTGTGTATAAGTCCACGTCCTGCCAGGCAATTGCATGTGGAATAAATCTGACCTCAGAGGATCACAGAAATTCCAAGTCATAGTGACAGTAAGTGTCTTAGCTCTTCGGATTTGAAAGCTGAGATTTGGCTTTTTGACTTTAGTACTGAAAAGTAAGGTTCTCAATGTAAAAAGCAGCCCCGACTTACTAAGCAGTGACCTTTTTATTTGATGGGCCAGTCCAGTCTTACCTAATTTGACCTTTGGATAGGAAAGGCAATCATTGTCATGATTGTGAATCCCATTTTCTTAGACAGAGGCCATAAATGTCACCTTGTTACATCTCCAGCATGGATCCTTTGGACATTCCATGTCATGAGGCATAATAGGAGACAGCCTCACAGGAAAGAATCTGAAAAAAAAACCCTAGGTGATTAAGGTGATGCCACGGTGCTTATTTGTTGGTAGATTTATTGTTATTATAGTCTAAGTCCCATGGTTACAGGGCCACATGTTTCTAGGTTTTACTCTGTTGGCCATAGATATGGTGCATGTACCAGGGGTCCCTTGTCCTGTGGAACTGCATGGGCATGTGGGGAGGCACATTCCCCATCACACTGCCTCTTCTGGACCAGCTGCAGCTTCAGAGACTACAGACACTCATGGGGCCCTGCCTGGCACACAGTGGGTTTTCAGTAACTTGGCGTTTCCTCTTTATACCAGTTTTGTACAAAATGAAGCTTATTGCTAGCTTCTATTCGGCAAATAAGCACCTGGAGGGAGGAATACTGATGGCAGGTAAACTGTCCCAATTAAAAACAAATGAGTTCTCTAGAGAGGAGCATTCTATCCCCCTTCCACCCCCCCACCCCTATTGCCCCCTTCAAGACGCTTGATTGCAAGTTCTCCCTGGCATGCTTCTATGTGTCACACCCCACTCCCTAAACCAGCGGCTAATGGCACATAGGGCTTAGTTAAGCATCTTGGCCTGTATTTTAAGGTTCCTTAAACCACTTTTTGCCTTATCTAAGTTTTAAAAGTTTTAGGTCAGATACCTAGTGATGTGACTTGTCAGATCCTCAACAGTAGAGGTTAGAAGAGTCTGTCCGTTGAGGAAAAACACTTACAGCTTCATCAAATTCCCACTCACACGTAATGGCCCAGACATGCTGTCCTACAAAGATGCCCACTGTCCCTTATTTATAGTGGTTGTACCCAGGAAATGGGATTGCTGGAAGCTGCCCGCGATGGACAGGAGCAGGAAGGTAGTTGACCAGTTAGGCAGAACTGATGCTGCAGCACTGGCTGAGACAAGCTCCCTCTGAAGGCTGCATGATTTTGCCTCTGTTCTGCCTGCTGCAGTTGGCATGGCTTTCACTGATTCAGAGCCTTAAGAGTACCCCATTCAAACTTCTGAGCATCAGAAAGCCTCAGCTGCGTTATTGTATGCAGAACTAGAGGCGACTGACTCCTTCTGTCCACTCCAACCTCCCTCCCACACATGCCATCCCCTTCCACACGACTATAAGGTCTACTTTCAGTAACAGAATCACCTGATAAGCAAAAGTTACTCCCTTAAAATTGTGTGCAAATGAGTTGAGGGAACAGTAGCTTGCAGCCCCAAATAGATTCAAAGATTCTAAAGCCCTCGTGGAGACTTGTCAACTTCAGGAAAGGAGGTCTAGGTTCTTTCAAGTTACATCATGTAATTTAAAGCCCCCTTAAACTTTGCAGGGGGGAAGGGTGTATGGGGTCTCTTAAAAACTTGTAACTTTCATATATTTTTGCTAAGTGCAGTGCTTCTGCTCCAGTACAAGAACTCCAATGATTTAGAATTGACAGGATGGCTACAAGTATAAATTCTATAGTAAAACGATAGACACAGCAGAGAGAGTATGGTCAACAGGCAGTTCAGAGTTGCTACCACCACCACAGCCCCCCAAACACCGAAGGTTTGTTCCTTGTGCCAGACCCGCAGAGATGTCTGTAGACATGTCTGCTTGGGGTCCTGAGTGGACCTTATTATTGACTCACTGGTGCTTTTCAGTTCTAGGTCAGTTTTCTTTCACATCACCCTGAGCCCTCAGACTTTTCTGCCCTGTCTCCCTCTTCTTCTGATCATCTGTTTGAAGACTTTTCAAGGGACTGCATGACAAGATTGCAACCTGGCCGAGAACACCAGACAAATGCCACGTGCCTGCCCAGTCAGGAGCTGGGGGTATCAAAGGGCTCCCCTCAGTCAAAAAAACTTATAGTTTCAGACAGAAAACCCTTACTCTTCCCCCCAGTTTTCTTTCTCCCTTATTGTCTGTTTCTTCCTGGAAAAGAGCTCTAGCAGATACCTCAAAAGGCTGGGGCTGCGCACAGCTCATCACCCAGGGATGCAGGGAACAATTAGCACAATCACAATGAGTTGTTGAGTTGTGATTTTTTTATAAACAAATTCAAACATCCCTGTAATATTGGAAGCTTGGGTTTTTTAGGTGAAAAGGGAAAGAAATACTGTCATGGGAAAACAGCTTTCAAAAACTGCAGCTTAGTAACGGGAGGGGGGAGCCTGTTTTCCTAGTCCCTGATCCAGTATCAGAGGCACTATGAACTTAAGCATGCTTTTATAATAAAGGCATCATTATATTCCCCCACCCCACCCCCGACCATATTGGCTTCACCTAGCAACTGTTTAATTAGACTTTATCTGACAGCTGGATCTAAATTCAGCACTTGGATCCAAAAGGCATCTATGCAATTATTGCTCATGCATAAATTTTAAAGTTAGAGAAAAGCATTTAATTAGCCCATCAAAGATACAGTTTGGGTCGAGTACCTGGATCTGGCTGAACAAACACTTGATCCATTTCCTGGTTAAACAGTTACAGGTAGTTACAAGCCTCTGTAGTGTCCATTCTTCTCAGACAAGCTGTGTTAAAGTGGTAGCCAGTGGTAGCGGCAGGCAGCGGATGGCACACCCCAGATCTAAAGCTGTTCTTTCAGGCTGTGAAACTTCCCATGAAAACCCCTGAGTGAAAGGAGCATCGTCTTTCGTGTGAGGCATCTAGAGCAGCCAATAAGGCTGCTGCTCTGAGGCAAGCCATGATTTCGGTTCTGCCTCAGCAACTCTTCAGAGGATTCTGCTTCAGTGAGTAGAGGCAGTATCCTGGCAGTGTGTCTGAAATCATCTTCAAGAAAGCATTAACATTCAAAGGGAGTACGGGAAAACATCACAGGGCATTCCCACACCTTTACAAAAGCAAAGCCATCCACCTATCCCTGCTCTGAGCCTGTTTGTTGATTGTTGACACGATTCCTCTTGGGGGAGGGTGACTGGGGGCGGGGGTTGTCCCTTTGCACCTTGCAGCTCCCAGCCTCCATATGGATTATGGTTTGTGACCTTCGAGCCAACTTAACAAATGGGAAGACTTGCAGGGAAGGGCTTCCATTTAGTGTGTGGGAGATGAAGGGAAGATTCCTTTTCCTCGAGAAAGTGAAACAGACTTTTCAGAAATGCAGCCGACATGGTAGGCAAAAAGCAAGGAACAACTAAGAAAAACAAAACGCTATTCTGAGTCCCTGTTTGGATGTTTGCTGGACTGTGGATGGTCAGGTTCAAGGTCTCCTTTGGCCATCATGTGTGATTATGGCCTTACAGGTCTGGCACAATCCTTGCATTATTTTCCTTGGTCAGAGTGCCCACATAAATTTGGAAAAAAATATTTCAGGATAAAATTCTTCTTTGAAAAAGAAAAAAAAAGTGCCACTCTGGAAAGAATTCAGCATAATCCTTAAGAGGGAACATCCTTGTATTTTGGCAGCTCACCCCTTGCTTTGTGGAAGAGGAAGCATCGTTAGCGATAACACCCACCCACCAAATGATGGGGTGCATGATATTTAAGTCTGACTGTGTCTGCCAGCTCTGTTCCCTCTCCAGCTCCTGTGAGAATCTAGCCATTACCCGGTGGTTTGGGGAGACTATAAAGTGACTGATTGTCTAAGAGGAAAACTCTCATTTGCCAGCAATAGGCAACTCGCCTGGTAGAGACCTCAGACCCCAGAAAATCCAAATGCTAAATGCTGATGGCTGAATCAAAAGTTTGGCCTTAAAATCTAACCCCAGAGGAACAAGAAGGATCTTTCCCCATATGTTTTCCTGATTTGCAGCTGACTGACATTCCTTTCCAATTAGGTTTTTCTTAATCTCTGTCTCTGTCTCTGTCTCTGTCTACGTCTTCATTTCTCTCTCTCTCTCTCTCTCTCTCTCTCTCTCTCTCTCTCTCTCTCTCTCTCTCTCTCTCTCACACACACACACACACACACACACTGGGAAAATGAAATCCAAAAGAGCACTATCATTCAATACTAACTGATATCCCAGGTGCTTTCGGCCAGCAGTGCTGGTAGATGGAGCTTCCTGCTCAGAGATGCCCGCAACTGCAGCTCAGTCAGAAAACCTACTGATCCCCATTCACTTATATACACATCATTCCATGTGGTAAGACAGCATCTGCTTGGAAAGGAGTCTCGTGACTGCGGGCTCGCCCTGTAATGGGGCCTCGTTGGATATTGTTTTAGCTGGGAGACTCCAAGCAGTGGAAGGGAACTTGAGAGGGCTGGGGCTGTCCAAGCTACTGGGCAGGCTTAAACTATCCCACATTGATGAGCACAGCCTATTTTTAAAACTCTTCCAAGAAGTGGATCCCATAAACCCCTCTGACAACTTCTGTTTAAAGGAACTTCTTCGTGACTTACTTGATAGAAACAGGCTGGTGCGTTCCTTCTCATTCTCCCAGCACTGCAAAACACCAGTCAATGACCACTACCAAGTTTTGTTAGAATTTTCTTCAGAAAGCTGAGGGACGCCAGCTAAGTACCTTTGATAAAGACTGAGTGCTTCAAAGTCCTTGCAGCTAAGTGTGGCTATTGCTTCGATAAGATCATTTTAATTGAAATCAGCCCTTCTCATGAGTAGGTACATTATATGAGTCATCAAGAATTCTAAAATCTTGAAGAAGGACTTAGAAAAGCTCAGTTTTTTAACAGTTTATAGTAGGTGCTATTTTTTTAGTTTTCAATAATATATATAACACTTCTCTAAATTATTCTTGAAATGTCTCCTTTCTGTGTCCATTTCCCCACTTGTACATAGGGTCCTGAGTACCTCACCGTACTCTAAGACAGAATGGTCTTAGGCTAAGACTCATATGGCCTGATGTTGCCATGGGGGTGTTTTATAGGCTGCAGCTGCTCTGCAGATCTGCTGCCATTGGGATTGGGGTTTCTCCAGGCCACGCATGTCACCATTTTGTTTCACCACACAGCATCATGAAATCTGTTTTGTTTGAAATTTATTTTAAATACTTTTCCTACATTTTAATTGCAAGTCTCCCTCTTCCTAAACATCCTATGTTTCATTTTGCCTTAAAAAAATAGACAATAGCTATGGAAAGGAGGGATGCTTTATAAAGCATCAGATTTTATATGCCAACACGAGGGTATGGAAGCATAATCATTGAGATCATTATCATCATCACCATTTATTTCTGACTTGAATTCTCAAGATAAAATTGAGTGAATGCTTGGTTTCATCTTCACAGTATGAACATGGATTTTCTTTTCAAAGCCAGATTCTTTGTGATAATAGTTTCTTCCCTCCTTTGTGTAGTTTTTCTTTCACCTATTTAAGAAACCTTTGTTAAGTTTGTTCATTGGTGTCAGAGAGGGTCTATGTGAGGTTTTTCTAAGAATAAAATTAAAATAGGGAAATGAGGCCCCTGCTTAGGATTGCTGAGGTTGTTCACAGCCCAGCTCTGGGAGGTTCCCTGGTAAGAGCCCAGAGGCTCTTGACTTGCAACCCCCCATTATTAAGTTTCCAGGGTACCCACCTCACCCCACTGTTTTCCACCTCCCTGCCCTTTATGCTTACCCAGCAGACAACAGAATGGTGTCTGCCTCTCTCCACAGGATCTGACTTCACAAGGTCATCTGTGGCTTCTAATTGTCTCAAGTGAAAAACTCTCTCAGAATTTATCTTCCCAGAGCTTTGTGTTACGTGGAGCATGGCTGACCACTCTCCACACGGAAAGCCCACACAGAGTATGTGGGGGCAGGAACTGGGATCTCAACTCTCAGAGATCTCAACTCTCACTGTAATCCCTCAGAGCCTTTTCTTTCACAGCTTCCTCCTGTCTTCAGAGATCAAAGCAATGTTTCACTCATAGACCACCAGCAAATGTGAAAGTGAGGGTGGGAAAGCAGGCAGTCTAATTCAGAGATGAATTCAGGAAGAAGTGGAAGACTGTTTAGTTGTGTTTTTGTTTTTCAGTCTTCTTAGTCCTAGATCATGTGATGGGTTTTTTTTTTCCAATCAAGATAAATTCTGTTTCTATCATCCCTCTGATTTGCCAGATCTAAGTGTAAACCTATTTATCTATTTAGCCTTCTTCACAGGTCAGCGGGCACTCAAAGCACAAGGGAAGAGTAGGGAATAGTTTAGCATTGTTCACCACAGCTCTATAAATTAGGATCTATATTCAAGGGTTATTAAAAGCAAGTACATTGAGGTCCAACTGCAAATTGGCAGAATCCTCATTTTGTCTTTTCTTGAATGCACTTTAGGACATAGCAGCTTGGTGATACGCTGAGTGCTCAATTAACAACTGATGAATCTGCAACACAGAAGTATTTGAAATGAAAATGAGGAGCAAGCAATGATGCAACATGGTAGAAATATATTTGAAAGAGAGAAAACACCAATCACATTTAATATTTGTAAGCATTACAGATTGCTCTACAAAGTAAAGAGTTTGTTCACTCCTTTTTAAGTCAAAAATAATTAAGCTATCAACAGAGGAACTGCATTGTGCCCTTGAAAAAAAATCCCTTACCCTAAAGAAAAAAAACTTCATTAATTGTTCTAATTAGAGGCATATATGGAAGACTTTAGTGATCAATTCTTGTTTTACTATGGAAATCTAAGAGCATCATTATGAATTACTTACTGATCAAAGTAACGGAGGAGTTAACTTTAGTACATAAATTAATTTTTAAATGACTTGTACAATAATAATTTTATAATGATTTTGAAATGTTCAGTGCCTTTAAAATATCGCATAAAGTACCAATTATAGTTTATACAAATCATCCCTCTATATCTTTCTTTGCCATTATATCAGCATTGTTCTTTCTGTTCAGCAGTTGCATTTTGGAAGGGAAACAAGCTATACTGCATGAGTAGTTGAAGGATTAAGTGGCTTAAAACATTAAGATGATTTAGAGAGTGAAATAGAATGTATCTGAGGATTACTTAACCACTAGTCTGACTTTTATACCTAAAATTCTAGAACAAAAAAAAAATCTTACAGAGAAAAATCAATTTGTAAACACACGAAGGAGAGAAAATAATCACATATGAAAAAGTTAAATATTACTTGTTAAAAAAATGAAAAAAAGATGAAAAACCAATCTCATTTTCTGATATTGAAATTTTTAGAAATGATGGAAAAGAGGCTGAGGAAGTGGTAATAAATATGTTATGACAGTTGGTTTTGAATACAAATTTCAGCTGCTTCATAGATGATATAATCAACTGAAACCTGAAAAAAATTGATTTTTCAAATAGTTTGTTATATCATCGAAATCAATAAAAAAATTTCAGTTATATATAGTATGTTACTTTACTTTATTTTAATTTTTTAAAATTTTTATTAGTGAAACACCATGAGGTATAGTTGTAGACTTACAAATTTTTGTGCTTAGGTTTCAGTTATACAATGATCGAGTACCCATCCCTCCACAAGTGCCCATTCTCCACCACCAATGACCCCAGTATCCTTCCCACCCTTCCATCCCCATAATCCCACCCTGCCTCTGTGGCAGAACATTGCCTTTTGTTCTCTCTCTCCCTTTGGGTGCTGTGGTTTGCAAAAGAGGCATTGAGTGGCAATCATGTTCAGTCTATAGTCTGCTTTCAGCATGCATCTCCCATACTGGGAGGATCCTCCCAACACCCTTTACTTGGTGCTCCCTTTTCTATCTGAGCTGCCTTTTCCCCTAGCATGTGCGGCTGGCCTCCAAGCCATGGAGTGAAACTCCTGGTACTTATCTCGACTATACTTGGGTTTTAGTCTCCTGTTTTGTTACTTTATATTCCCCAGATGAATGCAATCTTTCTATGTCTGTTCTTCTCTTTCTGACTCATTTCACTTAGCATGATACTTTCCATGTAGTGCCACTTGTATGTAAATTTCATGACTTCATCTTTTCTAACAGCTGCTTAGCACTCCAT